CCAGGCCTCCCACTGCAGAAGGCTCCGGTGACCCTCTCGTATCGTCCAGAGCCCCCAGCGGCAGCCCCCAGTGTTCCCCCAGCAATGGCGACAGTGAGCTGTGGGCCACACTGCTGCGTGCTGTTCGCTCAGATGCAGCCCTGGACGGCCCGCCTCTGCCCCCACTGCCCACCTTCCCCAGCCAGGTGTGTCTTCGGGAGAGCAGGGTGGCCAAGGGTGTTCAGGCAGGGTCTCTGGGCCTGGCCTCACCCAGCTCCTCTTCTGCAGGAAGCAGGGCCGGAACTCCTCGCAGCCCCTGAGGTCTTCGCGGTGGGGAATAACTCCTTTACCTGGACACCTTTTCCGCCAGCCCACACAGGCTGGGGCCATGCTGACAGGTCATTGAGAGGGCCTGCGGGCCCCCCGGGGTCACCCACCCCATCCCTGGAAGGACAGCATGTGCCTGATCCCTGTGGGAACCCCAAGCCCCAGGAGCAGCTGACTAAGGAGGGGCCCTTAGCCCTGCAGAGCTGCCCCATGTGCCTGGAGGAATTCACGGCTGAGTGAGTGCTCACCCTGCACCCAGACCCTGCCGCATGTCTGACTAACTGCCCAGCTTGGGAAGCTAGGGGATGCTTGGCTCGGCACCAGCTTCCTGAGGCCATGTTGCATACACACAAAGTGGGCTCAGGCCGCTGGCCAGTGCCTGGTAGTCCTGTTGGGCTCCCCTGCTCTCTCTCTGTGGCCCAGTGCCACGGAGCCGAGTAGGACTCTCCCCCCCTGTTGTCCCAAGATTCCAGGCAGCTTGTGGTGTAGAGTGTCCCCTGCCTGTGCCCAGCCTGTACTGGCCTCCAGAGCCAAGCCAGGCTGGGGTCTCTGCCGACTCCCCTGAAACAGCCATGGGACCTTTATACAGTCCCTGTGAGTTTTGTGATGGTCTTTTTCAACTCCAAATTGTGTGTGTGTGTGTGTGTGTGTGTGTTTTGAGTAAGGGGATGGAACCTAGTTTTACTTAGAAATTGAGCCCCAGCTGTCCAGATCATGGTCCTGATTCTTGCTCAGTTCTATTTTGGGGGGTTGCTGGGAGTTGACCCCCCCATGCCTTTGTACTGAGCCACATCCATCACTGGCTCATTTTTATTTTGAGACAGTCTCACTAAGTTTCCCAGGCTGGCTTCAACTTTCCATCCTCCTGCCTCAGCCTCCCAGAGTGGGATCACAGCTGAGATCACAGATGTGTGCGCACCACCACGCTGGCCTTGACCTTCTTGAAGGAGTCAGCCAATCATGGGTGCAGGGTCAGGACAGCATCAAGATGTGGTGACTTCATAAAGAGCTGGCCAAGGGCTGCATGCTCTGGATGTCACATAGCCAGCCAGGAGAGTGACCCTGGTTTTGAAGCAGAATCAGCCTAGGAAAGTGCAGGTCTGGAGTTCAGTTAGCTGTTAAGGACAGCAGAAAAGAAAAACTAAGCACAAACAATCACTCGCTGTCAAAGTGCCGGGGTGAGGGGCTGGGCGGGCACTGCAGTGCCTATGGCCCAGGGTGAGTGCCAGGTACTCCTGGTGACCCCCCAGCCAGAATCCATGTTACTTGCCTTTGCAGGGCTGCCCTAAGTGCAGACCTGGCCTCACCCACCAACCCTGACAAAGCAGGGAAGCCACCCTGGTTCTCCTGTTGGGGAAACAGGGACTCAGACGGGAGAGTCTGTGGGGGGCATGAAAGGGGAATCCAATGCTGGTGCAGCCACCAGCCCACCCATACCAGGGCCTTCTGTCTTGTGCTGTGTGCGTTGTGTGTGTTTCTAGAGACTCTAAAGAAAGACCCTGGAAGACGGAAGTTCAGAGAGAAAAGCCCTGGTTCTGGGCTTCATCAGCAGGTGCACCCAGTGTGGCTTGGTGCCTCATTTGTTCTGGTTTGCCAGTGAGGGGTCCAGTCTTACCAAGTCAAGGTGCTCTGGCAAGTCCTCCTGTCTGACTGTGAAGGGGAGGACTTGTGTGGGGTTGAGTCGCCCCAGTGTGGCTGTGACATGGGGGCTGCTGGGGAGGATGTGGCCCATGTGCTTGGGCAAGAATGCAGGTCGTGTGCCCATGGTGGCCTCTTTGTATCTAGAAGCCACTGCACACCAGCCTGTCTCTTGCCTCGGCTCGGCTGTGCCTGGATGGCAGCTGGTGCCCCATGTGCAAAGCAGAGACCAGGCTGAACAGAGCCTTTTTTGTTTTTTGGCAGTAGTGGGGATTGAACCCAGGGCCTTCACACTGAGCTGCACCTCTAGCTCTTTTTATTTATTTATTTTGAAGCAAGGTTTTACCAAGCTGCTCAGTTTTGAAGGCTTGGCAGAAACTTTTGATCCCCCTGCTTCAGCCTTCCAGAGTGATGGCATGACAGGTGCACTCCACCCCACCTGGCTAGTGCTCTTTCACTATGGCGTGGGGTTCTGGAGGAAAGTCTGAGGGTCACCAGCTGAGGGACACCGCTTGGACTCCCTGGGTGGGATGGCCCAAGGCCCTCACAGCCTTGGAGAGGTGTGCAGAGGGGCTGCTTGGGGACAGGCAGTGCCCCAGGAGTCTGCAGGGAGGAGGAATCTGCTGGCTAGCAGGGCACAAAGGTCCTCAGGACTCGTGGTGCCTCATTTAGCTCTGGGTGACCCTGTGTGGCTCCATGGGACCAGGCCAAGAAGCTGCTGGGACAACGGTACTGAGCTGGGGGAGCGTATGGGTGGACCCTCTGGCATGGGGAGGGACACAGAGCAGAGCCCAGGGGAATGGAGCTGGGTGGTGGCCTGGTCTGAAGGCCTAGGCCATGGGGTGCAGGGAGGGTGGCAGGAGGCAGCCAGGCTTGCTGCTCTGTGGGGTGCAACCCCAGGTGTAGGGGCTGTCACCCCAGCAGGACCCTGGCGGCACTCAGGAGGCACAGGTGGAGCCCTTGGGCCCCAGCTGCAAGTGAGCTGTGCTGGGCAGGGCATCCTGACTTCCCTCCTGAGCTTCTGCAGAGGTTGGGCTTGGCCTTCCCATCCCAGACCTCTCCTGGCCTTCCTGCCTGGCCCAGGACCACCCTCCTGTGGTATGGAGTGCACGGACCTCCCAAGCGCCTCAGAGTGAATCTGATGGTAGGGTTTGGCCCTTATTGAGAAGGGCGGTCCCCAGGCTGGGCTCAGTTTTCCTGGTGAAGAGCTGCCTGGTACCAGGCAATGTGATCACACAGTGGGCCAGTGCCCACCCCGCCCATCAGCCTTCCATTGCAGTCTTCTGCATGGCTGCTGGGGTAGAGCCTAGAGCGTGCTCCCCACTGCAGGGTGACCTGTGTGCCCATCCCTGGCCACTCAAGGGGGCCTGGGGCGGTTTTCCCACCTGGGGTGGGGTAGGAGGCTGAGTGACACCTCTCCTCATCCCTGCAGGCTGAACCAGCTGGACGTGGACAGCCACCTGGCACAGTGCCTGGCTGAGAGCACAGAAGATGTGGAGTGGTAGCCATTGAGGGGATAGCATGGAGACCTGGTGACCTCACCCACCCTTAGCCTGTACATTAAATCAGGTTCTCACCTGACCAGGACATCAGTTTTTATTTTCTGAAGTAGTGCGATCACCATGATGAAAACAGTGCCATCTCCCAGGAAGCTGGAGCCCTTCACCAGCCAGAGGGGGCCTCACCACCCACACTGGCCAGCCGTTGTCACACAGGGCTGCCCAGGTGGCCTGACATGTGGTCTTAGGCAGTACTGGGGATGGAAACCAGGGCCTTTGCACTAAACCACATACCATCCCTTTTTATGGTATTCTATTTTGAGACAGGGTCTTGGTAAGTCACTAAGTTGCCTAGGCTGGACTTGAACTCGAAGCCTCCTGTCTTTGCCTCCATGTGTTAGGTACCACCATTCCCGGCTGTGGCTCCTCCTTAAATGGGGAATCGTGGGAGGGACCTGGCTGTGCCTTCTCAGAAAACTCTGTTCCCGCTGATAGGTGAGTAGGAATAGAGTGATTTGTGGTCACTTTCTTTCTGCTGTTCAGCCCCAGATCTAGCACTAGCCCGACTGGTCCTGGAAGGGCAGGCGAGGTGCAGAAGCTCAGCACACCCCTGGAGCCCGCACCACTGGGCCCAGTGCTCACCTGGGTGCACGGAGCCCAAGTCACCCAGCCCTGTGTGTGTCCCCGAGTGAAGGTGCCCTGGGCCAGGTCACCATTAGGGTCCCAGTGCCTCAGAGGGGCCTGCTCCATGCCCCTCTTGTATCCTCTGGGCCTTGTGGACTGGATTGTCCACACCTGCCTCCAACCTCTGCCCTCCAGAGACACCAGAAGTAACGCTGTCCCAGGTTCCTGGAATCGCTCAATCCAGACAAACTAACACCAGAAATGAACCATCCCAGCCGTGTGTAGAGAGACCCAACTCCACGAGCCCCAGAAAGAGGCCAAGCTGGGCACAGTCGGAAGACAGGGCAGGGAGACAATGCCGGCACTGCTCCACCTCCGCAGCCCTGTTACAGCGCCAGCTGTGCATCCCAAGGCTGTGGTTGTGTCTCTGGTGGGGGCTGCATGGGACCAGGACCCCCCAAGTTTCTAGGAACCTAAATCTGCCCTAAAAATGACTTCAAAACCCTCTGCTTCCCCGAAACACCTACTTCTAACAAAAACACTAACAACCATGCGTTTTCGTTAAAGTCTTTAATAGATGTGCCAGGGCAGGTATGACCTCGGCGGAGGGTGAGAACATCATCCACAGCGGGAAAACTGGCTGTCCACGGGCTTGGCTCAGACCAGAGATGGCTGTGGTACCGCTTTACAATCACGGGTCACCAGTGTCACGAACCACATCCACGGGCGCACACGGCTGTGCCGGGGCCATCGCAAAGATTGGGGCTTTTCCCAAGCACACTTCAATACATCTTCCTTTTTAATTTATAAAACAATTCACTGTATATAAAAATCTCCCCTTCTGATGGGCACAATGATATTCACACATTTGTACAGGAGCAGCCCAGCTGGCAACCAGCAAGCAATTGGCAACACGGCAGTATTTAAATAATGCCCTCCGAGGCACCCATGCCGAAGCAGGCCCCATGGTACAGGCGAGAGCTGCCCGCTGGACTCCCTGGGTCTTTGCTGCACCCGGCAGCTGTGACCACGTGGAGCCTACTCTGTGTCTCCTGACCTGCCTTTTCAGCCAGCGTCAGGCTGCCGAGGACATGCTGGCTGAGATATATCTGCAATCAGAAGGCAGAGGGACGCCAGAGCCGGGGTGGGGCGCCCCAAAACCTGTGCCGCCACCAAGGCAGTCTGGGGAGTCCAGCACCGTGGGCCCAGTGAGAGTCACCACGCTATGCTGGCCGCTCGGAGGCCTGAGAAACCTGAGTGTGGAGAGGGGGGCAGGTGGGTGGCAGGGTGTGGCACATGTGGATTTTCCTGACCTGATCTCTGCAGGCCGCCAGCCTGGTGTGGGACCGGCCTGGCTGAGCTCGGGAAGCTGCCCTTCCCAGGGAGGGGCACTGTGGCAGTGGGTGTTCTGGGGGTGTCATCAGCTTTAAGGCTAGGGTCTGTCACACAGGTATTTTTTTCAATTTTCTAATGCTGAGCAATGTATTACTGATAAAAATATTTCTGGGCCGGGGATTTAGCTCAGTGGTTCCACCGCCTGCCTTGCAAGCGCAAGGACCTGAGTTCGATCCCCGGTATAAAAAAAAATTTTTCCAAAAATCTAATACAGAACACAAGACATCCTGGAGGCACTGGTTCGTGTTCTCAGAAATACACTTGTGCACAATTAGATCTCTGTTTTATTTTGCCTTTTTTTGTTGGTTTTTGGTCTTTGATGCTTTGGTGACATGTTTGGAATCTCCAGTCCTCGGAGTGCCCAGTGTAGGCCAGCCCTGCCGTGGTGCCAGCGCTCAGAACTTACCGCGTTGGTAAAGGCTCCTCTTGGCGGCATCCCCGTAGGCACTTGGACTCCTGTCCCCCCTCCGCCTCCAGCCTGCCTTGGCGAGCTCAGCAACTCAGTGTGGCTGCGCAGGGACTTGGGCAGGTGCCACTCAGAAAAAAGGCATCAGAGGGAAGCTGTGACACCATCGGTACATTTTATTCCTCGGGACATTACACGCTCACTTCCCTGGAGGAGCGGTCAGCGCACCGAGTCCTGCTTCTGTGAAACGCGCACCTCGGAGACGGCTCGAGTCTCCCCCAGGGGCAGGGCCGCCACGGCCGGTGGCACGGACACAGGAAGCCCTTCCTCCAGCAGAGCCGGCCTCTGGGCACAGGCATGAGAGGCTGCTCTGTCCCTCCCTGGCTGCGCAGAGCCTCGTGCCTGGCCTGGCATGCATACGCTGTGATTAAGGATAAAGTTACAGGGTCATTCACGGGCGTGTCCACGACAGACGCACGCGGCCTCACACGGACTCCTCAGTGGACAGCAGAAGTGGGTTGATGTACTCGAAGCCTTCAAACTCTGACTGGTCGATCCTCTTAATGACATCCCTGGAGGCACAGAGGGGATAGTGGTGGCCCATGCATGTGCTGACAGGTGGCCTCCCAACCTGAGGGAGGACGAGAGTGGGGGACCCCACTCCTCACCGGGATGGGTCCCGCCCCCAGGGCCCAGACTCACTCATCATCCGGGGTCAGCTGCACAGGCTCACTGGTGAACTGCGTGTCGAAGTTATCCAGGCCATAGTCGTCTGAGATCTGTGGCTGGAAGGGCGGCAGGGCCTGCTTCTTCTCCAGCTGAGGAAAAGTGAGACAGCAGAGAGCTGAGTGGGCCAGGTAGACGTGGCTTTCTGCACCCACGAGATCACAAAGGAAGTGAAAGGCACCCTAAGAGCAGACCCTGTGCCAGACAACTCGTGTGAGCTAGAGAGTGGGATGTGGTACCCGGGGTCTGTGTTCCCAGGGCCACTGCTGCACAACCTGGCACTGAGGGTGATGGGGGTTTCTTCTCTTAATGCCTTGGAGCTGAATGTGAAGGTGCTATAGAGACCCTCCTGCCACTGCAGCAGGAGAACACGGGAGCCTTGGGGACAGACAGGCCACTGCGGGAGGGTAAGGGAGGGCCTGGTGCAGGGCACCTGAGTAGGACGGTGGGGGCCCCACCAGGTTGGGGCTGCAGCTGAGCCCAGGGGTGTGCTCCCCCATGGGCCACACCACAGCTCTTTTCTTTTTTTGTGACAAGGTCTTGCTATGTAGCCGAGGCTGGCCTCAAACTTGCAATGATCCTCCTGCCTCAGCCTCCTGGAGTGCTGGGATTATAGGTGTGGGCCACAGTGCAGCACATTTCTGTTCTGAATCACCGGGTCCCAGCCTTATGTTGTGGCAGCAAAAGCTGACTGACACTCCCTTGCATGCTCACACTCATTCACGCATGCATTCTCTCACCCACTCGCACTCCTGTGTGGGCTGGGCTTACACCCAGAGCTGAGGCTGCTGTCCCACCCTGTGAGTGGCCACGCAACAGCCTGGAGAGGGACAGCATGTAGCTCAGCTCCCTTTCACATGGCCACACAGGATGCTGACATGGGCCCTGTGCCACCCACATGGCTCCCCACTATCAATCAGAGCAGCGAGGTCAGGATGGCTGTGGCAAAGACCATGCTGGGAGGAAACCTGGACACTTTGGGAACTTGTCCACACACACAGCTCCTGCTGACCAGGGTGGCACAGGAACCTGTGACATCACAGAAACGGGCAGACCCTTCCAGTGTGTGCAGGACGTGTTGGGCAGGTGGCCACCTCAGCGAGGCCTCCTCAGCAGTCACCTCCATGAACACGGGGGCCAGCATGGGGCTGTGGGACACAGGATGTCCCTTTTTTCACCCGTTTTATCAGTCTGGTTTCTGATAAAAAGTGAGAAAAGGGAGCATCTCTTATCTTTCCCCCTTTTCATCCTGGGCTGCTTTAAAAGACTGAGGTAGAGAGTCAGGGCAGAGACTGGGTGCTGCTGCCAGTCTGTGAGGGGAGTGCTGGTCATCAGTCTCCCTCAGGTGCCCACAGCCAGGTTGTGACTCACTCCAGGGCCCCCTGTCTCCCTGCCCACTGGGCCCCTGACCCTTCAGATGCTGTCTTCTGAGCTGGACCTGGGCCACAAGGACAGAGCTACGGGTGGCAGGTGCTACCCTTCAGTGACATCCATGAGGCTGTGGTCACAGTGGCAGGGGACACAACAGCTGGGGCTGCGCTGTGCGTGCTGAGGGCCATGGGACTTGTTTCCTTCTGGTCACCTGTGTCGCCACAGGAGCTCTCTTCTCAGCGCAGCGAGGAGCAGAGGCCTGGGACCCCGCAGCGGAGGGGAGCAGGCCCCAAGTCCCCTCAGCACCCACACTGGGCCGGCCCTTACCCCACAGCCACCTCTGCTGCTGGCATCCACACCGAGTCCATGCCTGGTCACAGACATTCTGCTGTCCCTCCGAACCCATCCCTTAGGAGAGTGCCAGAGACACCCAGGTAGGCTGGGGACAGTGCCCATCCCTGCTCTGTGCCCTGGTCCCTTGCTGCCTGCTTTCCACCTTCTTCAGCTACTGCAGCACATGCACAGGGTCCTTGGTGATAGGCCCTCACACTCAGAGCAGCCTGGACTGCGACTGGCCTGAAGCCCGGGCCCTGGGGAATGGAGGCATCTGGTCAGCAGGTGTCCCCATGGCTGGGCCCTGTCACGTGACAGGGCACGATGTGGCCCTGACTCCAAGGAGGCACAAGTGCCATCTCTGGAGCTGCCCAGGCCAGAGGGTGGTGTGGGAGGAGGCAGAGCCCACACAGGCACGGGCCCCTGGCTAGTGGTGGAGACACCGGTGAGCTGGCTCTGCTGCTGCCTAGAGCTCTGCTCCCAGCCCTGCTTCAGACCTGGGCTGGAGAAGAGTGAGCCCCACAGAACTGCACTGGTGGGAGGAGCCCAGGGCCTGGAGTCCCAGCCCCTTGTGCCCTGTGGTAGACCCCAAGCTGGCAGCTGGAGAAGGGGAGAAGGTGTCCAGGAGAGGCAACCTGGGCTCTACCAGCTGAGGCCAGAGAGGATGGAGCGCATAGGCATGGTCACCCCAACCGCCACGACCAGGCAGGGTGTGGGCGTGGGAGGCTCTTCAGAAGCCAGGGTGAGGCCACTGAGCTGAGAAGCCCATGTCACATCCAGGTATCTAGGCATCAGCGCCCCAAGGGGAGGGTGCCGGGCATGGCCTTCACAGCACCACGGCCAGGCTCTGGGGCAGCAGGGCTTGAGGCCTGGCAGGTGTGGACAGAAGCTCCTGAGCAGAAGGTGCTGAGGGCTGCGGGGATGGCACCTGCTGACTGGCAGCTCACGGGGTGTGAGCTATGTGGGGGGCCCAGTATTTGCTCAACAAGCTGTCAATTCTTTGTTCTCTCAAAAGATCATATTTTACAGGCTGTGCTCCAATAACTGTATGCCTCCTAGACCTGAAATGAGCTAGGTTTGGTTTTGCTCTAACACCAGGAGCAGACCTCAGGTCAGAACTGAACACTGCACTCACTGCCCTGTGGTGACCAGGACCTTCCCTGGGCTGGACCCAGGGCTCCTCCCAGCCACAAGGGCAGGTGCTGCTGGGAACCCCTGCCCCTCTGTCCCCGCGCTGCCTTACCAGGTCCCAGTCTATGCTGCGGAAGAAGGCATGTGACTTGATGTCGGAAAATCCTGTCTGGAGCCGGCAGCCGAGCCTCTCTTTGGGGTCCTAGGGATCAGATGCAAACAAGACTTAGCCCGAGGCCAGGCTCAGCCCTTGGCAGGCAGCTCCCCATCTCTGAGCCTTTGCTCAGAGCCCGACACCCCTGCACTGGCACCTTCTCCTGAAGCCCCAGTCCCTTCTGTTTGCAGACAACATGGTTCCACTTCACTTTGTTTCATATGAATAAATGCCCAGGGCTGTGGTACGGAGCTCAATACAGGGTGGAAATCCAAACCCTTGCACAAACTGGGGCACCGTGGTGAAGCGTACCTTGTTCAGAAATCCTTTTAAGACGTGGGAGGCTTTGACGGACAGGAAGCGGGGAATGCGGATGGGCTTCTCCAGGATCACTACAGGGCAGACAGACATAACTGTGAGGTTGGACCCACCTTGCCCCCTCAGGGAGTCCCTGGGTGGTCACCAGAGAGCATGGAGGGATAGCCCGGCCCTGACCTGCATATCCAGGCTTGGTTTGGGGACTGAGGATTACTAGACCCAGGGCCTCTGCCCTGCCCTGCAGATCCACAACCTTCTTTTATTTTCTGAGAGTTAAACTGCTAAGCTGCCCAGGCTGGGCTCCAACTCGTGATCTTCCTGCCCCAGCCTCCAGAGCGCTGGGATTGCAGGTGCTTGCCCCCAGGCCTGGCTCTACTGGCAACATCTGTGTCTGAGCAGGGCAGGTGTCCAGGGGCCGGGCCCTGCCCAGAGTCCTGGATGTGCCTGGCTGGGTGGGACAGGTGACCCCCTCGGACCCATGAGCCCATGGGTAGGGGCCGGCGTGCCTGCAGCACCCACCTTGGAACAAATAATCCTCCGTGTTCATGTCAGGGTTGTCGCTGATGATGTCGAAGGGGGAGCGGCCGGCCATCATCTCGAACATGAGGACGCCCAGTGCCCACCAGTCCACGCTGAACCCTGGGGTAGCAGGCACTGTCAGCAGCTGACAGCAGCCCTGCTCGGCCCAGGGAGCGGCGGCCAGGTTCCCCACAGCCACCGTCCCACACGGCGCGTGTCCCCATTGTCACCTGCCCTTCGGGGGCATCCTGACCTTGACATGCAAACCCAGCTGCTGCTTTCTTGCTCTGCTGTGCTCAGCAAAGCCCTCCCCTCAGGCAGCCAACGGCGCCTGGAACCCGAACCCGGTTCTTAATGCTGTCACAGCAGGTGGGGACTCTCCCAGGTCTTGCAACCTTGCACTGACCACAGCCCTGACTTCTCTGGATGCCACACAGCTCCGGGAGCCCTGTCACTATAGGACAGGGAGGTGCCTGTCTCACCTGCCTGTCCCCAGCCTGCTTTATGGCAAGGAAAATGTGTGGAAACGCATGCAGGCACATTCCCGATGTGCTTCCCTGGGCACCTGAGGTGCACACGCCTACTGCACGGCGTGTACCCACACACACACAGACAGACAGACACACACACACACACACACACAGGCCATGTGCCCTGCTCAGGGTGCCCATGGGGCAGAGTGCAGGCAACATGTGTGGGGCTGTGTGGCGCAGAGGGTGCTGGGTCCCGATGGAGGCCCTTGGGCAGCCCAAAGTGATGCCCTGTCATCTGCAGCGGCATGGGCATGTCCACACCTCTGCGCTGAGCAGTCCATCTGCCTGCTCTGGGCCCCATCTTAGGGCCTCCGGGGGACCCAAGGTAGTCTGCATGGGCCCAGATGGGGCCACTGACTTCAGCTGGACACGGAGGGGTTATGGGCACTCACTCGGGTGTGATGTGGGCAGGCCCTGTCCGCGATTCCCCCGGGAGCCGCAAACTCACCGTACTCCTCTCCCCGCAGGATTTCTGGGGCGATGTAATTTGGGGTTCCACAGAAAGTGCTCGTCGTGTCGCCAGGACCTAGGCCTTCCTGCAGGGACAATTACCTGGGTGAAGGGGCAGGGCAGGCGGAGTGGGACGGGCAGGCAGCTAGGGCAGCTTGCAACCTTGCACATGCCGTAGTCTGTCAGCTTGATGTGCCCATCCGAGTCCAGCAGTACATTGTCCAGCTTCAGGTCCCGGTAGATGATGCCTCGCTCATGCAGGAAGTTGAGTGCAATGCAGATCTCAGCAGCGTAGAACCTGGGGCAGGACAGTGGGGCAGCCGGTCAGCTGGTCAGCTGTGCTGCACGACCACCCTTGCCTTGGGCTGAGTCTCAAACTGGGGCCAAGCAGATGGCACAGGTGTGTAGCACAGGCTCTCAGAGACTGGCGGGCCCTAAGTACACGCACGACTACCATAAAAAGGCCAGAAAATGACTGTGAAGATGGCGTGAAGATGGCGAGGCTGTGGGCCATGTGTGCAGGGGGACAGCAGGTGGGACCCTCTGTGACCCCACCTGAGCCTGCACCCCAGAGGGATAGCTGGGTTTCCAGTCAGTGCCCACATGTGATGTTCGGGGTAGCTTCATTCCCAAGGAAAACCCAGAAGCAACTCAGTATCCGTGACTGCCGTGTACAGGAAGGACAGCAGCCGGCCCTGCTGTGGGTGCTGCTTGGGCTTTCTGGGAAGGAAGTGCCGGTGAAAGCCACAGCACAGACAAGTCACATGGCCCTCACATGCTCCAAAATAAGTCAGATACAAAACACCAAGTCCTGTGTGCCACCCTACAGGAGCCACTGGGAACTCAGGGTCCAGAGACAGCAGAGGGAGGCAGGGCACAATGGGGACAGTCTTGGTCTAGTTTCTATTGTTACTGTTTTTTTTGAGACAGGGTCTCACTGTGTAGTTCTGGCTGGACTTGAACTCATGGCAAGTCTGCCTTGGCCGCCAAGGGCTAGGGTTCCATGTGTGCACTGCCACGCCTGGTTTCAGTCTGGTTTGGACTTTTGGAGGGCAGGTGTAATACCGGGGATTGGACCCAGGGATGTTCTACAGCTGAGCTACATCCAGCCCTCTATTTATTTTGTTTGTTTTTTAGGTACGGGGGATTGAACTCAGGACCTTGCGCTTGCAAGGCAGGCGGCGGACCACTGAGCTAAATCTCTGATCTTCCCTCTTTAAGTCCTGTGTGCCACCCTACAGGAGCCACTGGGAACTCAGGGTCTTGGTCTAGTTTCTATTGTTACTGTTTTTTTTGAGACAGGGTCTCACTGTGTAGTTCTGGCTGGACTTGAACTCATGGCAAGTCTGCCTTGGCCGCCAAGGGCTAGGGTTCCATGTGTGCACTGCCACGCCTGGTTTCAGTCTGGTTTGGACTTTTGGAGGGCAGGTGTAATACCGGGGATTGGACCCAGGGATGTTCTACAGCTGAGCTACATCCAGCCCTCTATTTATTTTGTTTGTTTTTTAGGTACGGGGGATTGAACTTGCGCTTGCAAGGCAGGCGGCGGACCACTGAGCTAAATCTCTGATCCCTTCCCTCTTTATTTTTTGAGACAAGGTCTCACTAAGTTTGCCCATGTTAGGCTCAGACTTGTGAGCCTCCTGCCTCAACCTCGAAAGCATCTGGGATTATCGTGTGCACCACAGTGCTCAGCCATCTCTGTGTGGGAAGAGGAGCCTTTGCAGATGGATGGACTGAGGTCACAATGGCTGTCAGGACAGTGCACCTGTGCTCTGTGCCTCTCAGTGTCTAACAGAAGCAGCGAGGGGGCCGGGTGCTGCTCTGCACTTTGCCTGCCCTCTCTGAACAGTGCCCAGGTGACGCAGAGCTGCACGGACTCCAGGGAGGAAAGGACGGTGTGACTCCGAGACCTAGTCCAGAGCCTCTCCATTTATACCTGGGGCTCCACCTTCAATTCAACTCTCTCTGCCCCGCGCTCCACCCCTGCCCTCTGGTGCCCACCTGGCATGCTCCTCGGGAAGCTTCCTCTGCCTCTGCATGTGGAACATGAGGTCCCCGCCATTGACATACTCGATAACCAGGAACAGCCTAGGAGGGAGAGGGGTCAGGGCTGAGTCACCGTGAGTACAGCTGGCCTGCTGTGGATGGACCCTCTGGGCAGCGCTGTATACAGCAGGCAGAGCCCTGCACTAGTTGGTGGCTTCCCAGGGGCCTGGGGAGCCACGCCTCGGAGACTCATGGCCCTCACACAGGTGACGTGTGTGCACGAGGCTGCACACACTCTCCGCATGCTCGAGGGGTCTCAGTGATGAGTGCAGACTCCCGCCCTGGCCCTGCGCATCCAGGAGCTGTCAGTGCAGCAAGGGCAGACACGTGGGCCAGAGGCAAAGGCGGGCTGCTCTCTGGCCCTGCAGAAAAGGCTCTGAGGTCTGGTGTGGGCAGTGAGCAGGGAGATCCTGGGTCCCGGGCCACAAGGCACTCACCAACCTCACCAGGCTGCCCCTGTGGAGGCCACTGACCCAGAAGATCCCTAAGATAAGAAAATCAGTCTGAGCTTTATGAAAACAAAACTCTTCAGGACTCTTCAAGCACAGGGCTGATACTTCTCACAACCACTGAGAATTACAAGGGGTGATCAAAATATATGGTGAATGCTCATAAAAATGCATCACAGTGAAAGATAACACAGCTATGAAGCCCGCTCAAAAATTGAACACACTGATCTCATCATTCTCGCCATTTTCTTTTTTTTTTCAGGTACCAGAAATCGAACTCAGGACTTTGCGCTTGCCAGGCAGGTGAGGTGCCACTGAGCTAAATCCCCAGCCCTTTCTTGCGACTTTCTGAAGCAGCTCTGGAGTCCTCTTTCCTGAAGTGTCCTTGTGGTGACTGCTGTTGCCGAGCGCTGTCCAGTGGAAGAGCAGCTCATGAAAATACGGCACTTCGTCCTCATCCACCTGTCACCAGAGAACGCACCATGCCACTCACTTCCAGCTCTCCTCCAAAGTCAGAATGACCAAGAAAGGTCAACGTTTTGAATCTCAGGACACTGAGGCAGCTGGCAGAGCACAGCTGAAGACATGAAGGAAGACTTCTAAAGCTGGGCATGGTGGCGCATGCCTGTGATCCCAGCACTCAAGAGGCTGAGGCAGGAGGACTGCTGCTGAACTTAAGACCAGCTCAGACCAGCCTAGTGAGACCCCATCTCCTCAAACCCCCAAAAAGGAGGACTCCAAAACTGCCTCGGAAGTGGCAAGCACAATGTGGCAAGTGTGTTCCAAGAGAGGGGCATTAATGACAGCATGTCCTTTACTATAACATTTAAAAAATTTAAGCATTCACTGCGGCTGACCCACAGAATAGCAGTCCCGTCCGGGCTTGGCCACCCATTGAGAAACCTGGGAAACGGACGACAGAGGGACATTAAGGCAGCAGGGGCTCAGGAGGACATGGTCCTTGGCCCCTTGGCCCTGTGCTACCAGAGGGAGTGCACACATCCTGGGGGAGGGAATGGTGGCTCATCCTGGTGTAGCCACTAGGAGCAGCTGGGTGATGCCCCAGTAAGAACCCCAAGATGGAGGAGTGGGGGCTCTCAGCAGTCTGCACCCTGTCTGTACACCTGCTCCTTTTGCTAGTTTTTCTGCCTTGGTTCTGTAGTCACAGCCACAAGCAGAGGCGGAAGGTATGCCGAGCCCGCGGGTCCCGCTGGAGACTCCCAGAGCATGGTGTGGCTTCTAAGGAGAACGTGGCTGGCAACTTTTCAAAGACAGTGATGATGGCAGCCAGGGGACCCTGAGTTCTAAAGGGAGCACACACTTACAGTTCCAGACCTCCGGTTTGTCAGTGCCCTTGAAGCAGAGCTCCAGCACACAGCACTCGGGGAAGCCGCCACACACCGGCCTGACCCCGTCCTGCGCCCACGTGGGCTCCATACCAGGCCCCAGGCCTGCACCCTGTGGGACGCGGTCCACACGTCTCACGGTTACGTAACTCAGTAATTAATGTGGTAGGTATGTGATGCAGTAACTAAGTTCAGACCAGGACGTTCACTGAGCAGGACGCCAACAGTGCATCTGGTGACCAGAAAGCCCTCCACGGGTGGCAGCCAGCAGGGCCCTGGACCCCCGCTCTCTTACCGGCTCGTCGTCTGGAAGCAGGAGTGCAGCCCAACCAGGAAAGGGTTGCTGGACGCCTGCTCAAACACGTGCTTCTCCGTCTGCACCCAGTCGATGTCCTACAACAGAAGCCAGGTGGGTGAGGCTCCCAAGCGTGCCTGGGGGTCCTCGGCAGGCTCGACAGGAAGGGGCGAGGGGTGGGCAGTGCACACGGGATGAGAACACGCCATCGGGATGCAGCAATTGTTGTCAACTCAGTGCCATCAAACCTGCTGCCATTGCCACCACCACCGTCTCCCTTCCCCGCCCCACTGGGCCTCCCTGCCAGCCTCTGGCTCTGTGGATCCCTGTGAGCCCCAGAGGTTGGCACCATCTCCCCAGGTGAGCGAGGGTGCAGGACTGAGCAGGCTCCACGACCCCGCGTCCGCCTCCACCTCTGCCTCCCACCTCTGCATCCCGCTCGCTCTGGCCAGAGCTCAGTGGGTGCTGAGAGCTCTCAGAGCACCTAGGGTCCTGCCCACCCCACCCCAGCCCCAGGAGACCCCAGAACGCAGTGCCTCTCTTAGGGTAGGAATGAGGGCAGAGACCAGCTAGAGTGGTGCAGGTCCCAGGGGGTTTCTGGAGCAGGCCTGCGGCCCTCCCAGCCCCCTTCCCCAGGCTTGTCCCTGTGGCCTCCTTCCTGGGCCGTCAGCCCTGCCTGTCCCTACGGGCACTGCCAGCCCCACACTTCAGCCCAGGCCTGCTCACCCACTGTCGCCACCCCCACCAGGACGCCCCTCCTCTCACTTCCGTGGGTCACCCAGGGGCTGAACCTAGTGGGTGGCCACCACACCTGTGCCCTCATGGCCCCATGACGGCACCTGATGTGTGAGCTGCGTGTGACCCACAGGGGAGCGGCTGCACATGGGACACCTGGCACCTCATGGGCTGATACTGCAGAGAGGGGCAGCAGTAGTGGTCCCAGAGCAGGCAAGAGCAGAGTCAGCAGGACAAAGGGTTCACAGGGAAGCCAGGAAAAGTCAGGAGCAAGGGACGAGTCGTGAGGTGCAGTGCAGCAGGGACCCAGAGTGACAGGGCGGCCGGAAGGAGCAATGCAGGAGGTGGGTGCTGTGTCCTGGGCAGGTTCTCAGCTCAGTGAGCAGCACAGGGGGCGCTGATCCAGGAGAACCTGAACGGGCTCCCGGTGTCCCTCAGCACAGTGCAGGGAGGACCCACACAGGGGCCCTGGGGATAGTGCAGTGGCACATCTGCCATCCTCAGGACACCCTGGGCCTCTCTAGACCCACACACGTGCCCGCCTAGCCACCACCCAACTCCCAGAACTGCACCTCTCAAGAGCAGACCTAAAACTCATCTTGGCCTGGTGGACGGTTTGAAGAGGCCAAGAGAACAAAGCCAAAGCATAGGCAAAACTCTGAGCCCTTCTCCTCCAGCTCTGCAGGCCCCACCCCGTGCACTCCACTAACTTTCTGGTTGGCATGGTGTGCTGGAAAGAGGGGTCAGGATTCCTGTGTGATACTGCCAACCAGCAGGGAGCCACCCGGTGCCTCAGTTTCCTTAGCTGTAAATGCAGGCACCAGCCACTTGCCAGCACAGCACCTAGGGTGGAAGGCCCAGTTCAGCAGGCTGTGCATTGCACAAATGTACCTGCTGGGGAGTGGGGAGGAAAGGCTCAAGTCCAGCCCCTGCCCCAGCCCTGAGCTTCCCAAGGCCAGAGAGGCCTCCTGAGGCCTGGGAAGCTCCAGGTCACTGGGTGTCCAGCAGCAGTGAACAGCCTCACCACTATCTACACGTCAGTGCTAGCTACATGTGCAGGTGTGACATTGAAAGCCCAGCACAGGGAGGAGTAAAGCCAGCCCGTGGAGAACCTGGAAGCCGTGTAGTGCTGGTGGGAGGGAGCATGGTGCACAGGTCCTCAATGGTTCTGGAGAGAGGGAGGGACAGGAGGACGGCAAGGAAGGGACACACAGAGCTAGTTAGGAGCATGACTAGCTTCCAGGGGAATGCAGTCTCATGCTGCAAACACAGGATAATAAAAAGGAAAAGCAGGGCCAGGGACTTAGCTCAGTGGTGCTGCTGCCTGTGAGGTCCCGAGCTCCATCCCCGGTAACAAAAAGAAAAACAACAAAAAAAGGAAAAGCAAACAAATAGTAAACAGTATGAAGCAAGGCAGTGAGTCCTGAAGGTGCATGGACACTGCGTAGACATCCCCACCCACCAGACACGGACACTGGACCCCATCCAAGCCCAGTGGGGCCCACCACATGGGTAGTCCCAGCCTCGGAAGTACCTGTAGTGCCTACCACAGCACATACGCTCATGGCACTGTGCTGAGAGACAAGCCGGGCACAGGCCCCAGCCTAGGACACAGCAGGAGGGCGGGAGCTGGGAGCTGGGGGAACAGGGGGGCAAGGGTGACGTGTAGGTGAAGAAAATGTCCCGGAACCAGGCGCGGTGCCATTATACTGTTCAGCACCACAGTATACCCAGTGATACACTTCCCAGTGGTTGAGACATCTTGCGTTGTCATACCTGGGCTTGAACCCAGGGACCACTGAGTTATGCCCTTAGACCATTTATTTATTTATTCAATTTTTTTATTTTTTGGCAGTACTGGGGATGGAACTCATGACCTAGTGCTTGTGAGGCAGGTGGTGGCACCACTGAGCTAAATCTCAGCCCTATTTTTTATTTTGAGGCAAGGTCTTATTAAGTTGCCCTGGCTGGCCTCAAACTTGTGATCCTCTTGCCTCAGCCTCCCAAGTGGCTGGTATCACAGGCATTGGCCGCTGCCCAACTAATTGCAAACTCGGTGAGGTAATGTTTGCTGCAACCACAAGAAAGCAGTACATGGGAGTGAAATTAAGATCCCAACAAACAGGCTAAGGCTCCTACACCCAGCCCCTCCCGGCACCCCTGGGGAGGCTCCCTGGTGATGGAGATGGCTCACCTCCCAGGTCCACAGCACCCACTCTGTGCAGCCCACCCGGGCTCCCAGTCAGCACGACACCACTGGAGGGTTTGACTGCTAGACTAGGACAGGGGCCCAGACTTAGGGCGTGGCTTTGCTTCCCGAAGCCCGGCACATTTGTGATGGCCTTGAAATGGCTTCTTTGTGAGCCACCTCCACATCTGCCTGAGTCCCCATGTGTGTCCTGAGTCCTCACATGCTCACTGCTGTGTCTTCACCTGCGTTCCCCACACATGTCCCCCATGTCCGCACACATCCCCCACGTCCCTACACATGTCCCTCAGGTCCCCATATGCGTCCTCCACATCCCACACACGTCCATGTCCCACATGCAGCATGTATGTCTTCCACACCCCCACACCTGTCCCCCACCTCCCTACATGGGTCCCTCAGGTCCCCACGTGTCCATGTGCAGATGTGTCCATTTCCACACACGTCCCCCACATCCCCACACCTGTCCCGTGCAGCCTCACCTCGTCATCGTGCACCAGCTCCTTCTTCACCACCTTCATGGCATAGATCTGGTCGTTCTTCTTCAGCCGCACCAAGAGGACCTTGGCGTAGCTCCCGCGCCCGATGACTCTGATGAGGTCAAAGTCCTGCAGCCCGAGCCCCTGAGAGATTTTGATCCCGTCGACCCCGTCGATAACTGGCTTAAGGTCCTAGGAGAGCAGGGCAGGATGGGCGCTGGCCAGGCTTTGGGCCTCCACTCCCGATGCCTCTGCCAGGCCATCGTTGCCAATGCCCAGCCCAAATGGAGGCTGAGGGCAGGTGACAGGCCACACGGGTGCGGGACAGTTCTGTGGGCGGTGAGGGCGCCTGGCGCCCAGCTTTGCTGGGTCCGGTGATAAGCTGACCCGGCCTAGTCCATGCCTTGGGTTGGCTGGGAATCGGGAGCCACCTGGGCAGGGCTGTCACAGCGACTACAGTGCCTGCCTAGCTGGAGTCACAGCCACTGGAGATGTGTGAAGGAAGCAGGCGGGGAGTACACGGGAGGGCGGGGCTGGGCTCTGTGACCCTGGCTCTGAGCTTGCAGTCCAGGGGGACGTATGCAGCCGGCCACACGGTGGGAGCAGGACCAGATGTCTCCCAACCCCACAGGGAGGTCCTATGGCTGGGGATACATGGGGCCCTGGCTGACAGCTCTGACTGCTCAGAATCGAGTTCCCGGCTCCTGCCCGGACTCTGAAAGGCAGCGAGCCCCTCACACTCACCTCGGAATCATCTTTAATGTTGTCGTG